CTTGGGGAACTCTTGAATGGGCCACCCCCACTAATCCCATCGGACATCAAAGCAGCATACAAAGACGTTCACTCCACCAACGATCGAACACGTCAGGATGGCCATCTGATAAATCAAGAGTGGGAAAGCAGTAGGACCTGAAAATATACCAGCTGAAGCACTGAATTCAGACATAGAAGTAACTGCAAACATGCTCTACGTTCTATTCAGAAGGATTTGGGAGGAAAAACAAGTGCCGACAGACTGGAAAGAAGAGAGTCTCATCAAGATATTAAAAAAAAGATCTGGACAAGTGTGAGAACTCAGCCACAGAGTCATCTCAACAGAGTGTTATTGAACCGGATGACGGATTAAGTAGACGTCCAACTTCGACATCCTCAAGCCGGATTCCGTAAAGATCGGTCGTGCACAGACTAAACAGTGACACTACAGATTATTGTTAGGAAACTGACTGAATGGAATTCGTCACTATACAGCGATTTTTTTTACTACGAGAAGGCGTTTCATAGTGTGAATAGGAGAACCTTTTGGAACCTTCGACGACACTATGGTGTACCCAAGAAGATCGTCAATATCATACGGAATTCATATGATGGACTACAGTGCAAAGTCGTGAATGGAGGACAGCTAACAGACACATCCCAAGTGAAGACCGGAGTCAGACAAGGCTGCTTTCTCTCTCCGTTCCTCTTTCTTCTGATAGATGACTAGATCTGAAGACCACCATATATCAAGGGAAGCACGGAATAAAAGGAACAGTTTGCATGCAACTAGACAATTTGGACTTCGTAGATGACCTAGCTCTTCTATCCCATAAACATCAACAAATGAAGGTCAAGATAAACAGTGTAGCAGCAGCCTCTGCATCAGTAGACCTCAACATGAAAATGCAAGATCCTCAAGTATAACATGAAAGATACCAACACAATCACACTTGATGGAGAAACTCCGGAAGAGATGGAAAGTTTCACGTGCCTGGGCAGTATTACCGACAAACAAGAAGGATCTGATGCAAATGTAAAGTCAAGAATTGTCAAAGTAAGGGCAGCATTCCTACAGTTGAGGAACATGTGAAGCCCAAAACAACTGTCAACTAATATCTAAGTCAGAATCTTCAATACAAACGTCAAAACAGTTCTACTTAAATTTTGATCTCCATTCAAGATTACCAATATAATTGGGTTTTGAATCATTTGGAGTTAGGAAGTAATCTAAAGATTCATCGTTGAATGTAAGCGAAATTAATATTATTCAATCATATAAGCAACAAAAGATTTCATTCATTTAAAAATTTACATCAAATGACAAGAATAAATTACTTTATAGTCAATCAAACAAACAAAGCAGTGATCAAGTTGATTAGATTAAACTTTCCAAATTTCATTCTGATCAAATGATTACATTTAGCAAAATGTATTTCATTGGTTATATTACATCAATTAAAGTCTATTTTTATTTTACATTACTTCCTAATAAACTCACAACAAATGTATTCATCTATTAGTTGGTGTCTTGAATTAATACAATAAATGACAGAAATTTTACTTAATGTTGTCTTTGTTGAAATACAAAGAAAAAAGAGTTTCTCATTATGTCAAGTGAACAAATCTTATTTTATCAGTCATGAAAAAGTTTTCAAATCCCTCTGGGCAGGATCGTGGATGTGTATTGCTGAAGAGTCCCACAATAGGACGAAACGGTCGTCTAGTGCTTCCAGGTTTTCTATGGTGGTCTAGCTTCAATCGACTCACAATTTCAAGTATTTAAAGTATTATAGTAAATTAAGTGAAATAATATGGATTTTCGAACTAAATAGTTGAAGAGATAACTTGAATAGTTATAGTTAATTGTTAATGAATTTTAACTTCTATTGACTTATGATCGGAAATGTTTTATTGACGTATTATATTGTTTCTTTAAAATAAACCTCAAAAGATAAAAAGTATCAACCAAGTTCAAGCTGGGGATTATGTTTAAATAGAAAGTTAAATAAGTTTTACCAAAATACTGAGTAGTATTGACCAATTTATCTGAATATCTATTAAGAAAAATATGTGAATATATATATATATATATATGGGTTATTTAATAGTTGAATTTGAGTCGGTTGTGACGTGTGGGACTGCAGGTTTTGATAAGCAGCGTATTTATCGATCGCTTCTGTGACAGTGGACACGTAAACACGTAGTGGACGACCTAGTGCCCTGATTGGCCCTGCTTCGCTATCTGTCCTAGCCACTTTAGTCAAGAACACAAGTCACAGCCTCTGAGTTATGAATCATTGTATTTCAAACATACTCTATTTATATATCAAACAAACAAACCACATCGTACCATAAAGTAGGAAACAACATTTGTACAATATTTAACAAGTGAAACAAATATCGACCAATAGATAATGTACATTTAAAGTCCAAGGCCACCATAGACTTAACACGATAACAAGTGGTATATTTTTCCGACTATCCTAACAGTCAATTAGAGCTAGACTATCATGAAAAATCTCGATTAACCTGGGTTAATTTTTCTAAAAATAAATTAACTAAACTCGTGAATTGATTGCTAATTGATATTTTGAAATACTGGTTATGTAAATCCGATTTGAAAGTGTGTAGCAACTATCCTACAACCAACCTCGATTATGGTGAAATTTGGTTAAGCACTTTTATTAAGTTACCTAACTGACAATGTTATTTGAACAGTAACAATTCGCATATGTCTTTGTACTATTATGATCACTATCTTGTCGGTATAAATGTGCATTCTTGATCACATGACAGACTCTAGCTAAAATTTTGATTGCTTAAATATCACTCGATGATTCATTCTCCTCCCCATGTATATATGTACTCAAATCCTATTATTAGCTTTCTCTTTGCCTTGCTGTGCCCTTATGCAATTTGACTATAAATTTGCCTGTGTAATTGTTTGCATATCCATAATCACCACTCTGCTTCAAATTCGCTTGAAGTGCTCATAGCTTTGATCTGCGCTATCTGCTAATAAACTGTAGTTGCCGCTTATCATTGCCTTCTGATTCCAAACACCGTTGAAATGTATATAATAACGGTTACAAGGGTGATTGATCAACAAACCAAAGCCACTACAAGCGAACCAGCTGCGTGATATTATCCACTTGTCAAACGATAATGTCAATTAATTACCTCTATGTATAATTATTATTAAGTGATATGTCAGGTAGTAAGTTAACCTGATAATTCAGTTTGAACATTGTTGACTGTTCAATGATCTACAAGATCAATATCCTATGATGACCATTTACGTTTTATTTGATGTTAAATAGTTTTTTTCTTTCGAAAATTTTATTATTTTTCTACACAAAACAGATTTTTCCTTACTGGTCAGTTCATTATTCTCATATCCATTTATTGAACATTTAAAGTCAGTAATTCTTGCTTTATGAGCAGTTTTCGTTCGGTTAAACTACTTCTTGTTAACTTATTTAAATGATTGCATAATCTATAAAGGAAAGCACCCAACTGCGTCACAAGACAAATCCTCACATGGAATCCTGAAGGCCAAAGGAGGAGAGGAAGACCAAAGAACACATTACGCCGGGAAATGGAGATAGACATGATAAAAATGAACAAGAATTGGATAGAACTGGAAAGAAAGGCCCAGGACAGAGTGTATTGAAGAATGCTGGTCGGCCGTCTATACTCCATTAGGAGTAACAGGCGTAATTAAGTAGGTAATAATCTATAGACTTAATGTACAACAATTCATCCAGTTATAATACAGAATGAATGAAACTAATATTACCTTGTAGATCAAGCCTCATCAAAATAATTTGTTGAGTCGGCTTCAGGAGAACTTCAATGGAGCCTCCAGAGGCTCAAAAGGAGCCGAAGGGGCCTAGCCAATCAAAGTATGATGGGACGTTCGAGAATTCCAGCGTGGCGTGCTACTATTGGTCGGTAGCATAATATGACGTTAACGGATTGGCTGAAATATGATGTTGATTCAACAGACGCCAATATCTATAAAATACCCTTGATTTTCTGTGCAAAAATGAACCTTAGAATAAAGTATTTTCTCTCATCCTTGTGTCTTCTCTCTGGTGTTCAAGTCGCTGTGTAGTTCTAGTCTGCGGTTTACCAGATAGCTTAGGAATCGTATATAGCGTTTCATCGACAAGACGTATCATAATTACATTATTAATCTTTATAAAATTATTATTATTATTCCCATGATATTTCAATTCTGATTTATTTTTTATTGTTTTATAATCTTTTAACTCAATTTATTATTTTCACAGATTGAACTCATGAGTCAGTTGAAGCTAGACCACCATTGAAAACCTGGAAGCATTGGACGGCCGTTTCGTCCTAGTATGGGACTCCTTAGCAGTGCGCATCCACGACCCCGCACCACCCGGCTCAGTGGTCTAATGGTTAAGTGCTCGCGCGCGAAGCCAGTAGGTCCTGGGTTCGAGCCCCGGGTGGTGCGGGGTCGTGGATGCTCACTGCTGAGGAGTCCCATACTAGGACGAAACGGCCGTCCAGTGCTTCCAGGTTTTCAATGGTGGTCTAGCTTCAACTGACTCATGAGTTCAATCTGTGAAAATTTCTACAAATCTCCACAAAACACATTCTGATATCAATTTATTAATGTCATATCATTATGAGCCAATCAAATTAATCGGAATTTTAAAATTTAACTCAAACTTATCTACCAATCATAATTATACAAGTGAAGAATGAACATTCCAAGTTTTTTTGCCCCTATCTATCTATCTATCTATCTATTTATCTACCTTTAAATCTATAGTATTTAATGGTACTAAGTGTTATTTATTATTCATAAATACCCAATTTACATATTAAAATACATTGTTACCGATTGATATCTAATTTAGAAATATCATTTGTAGAATAAAACTTCATTAGTACGGGTTTTTTCAAAGAATGAATCAATTTGTATGTTATTTTATTATTCTTAGTTTATATATAACTTATTATTATTGTTATACAATTAAAATGAACCCATATGGAAATTTTATGTATCCTTCATTATCAACCTCATCATCGTCTGTCTCATCATCAGAATCAGAATCATCTCCAAAACTGTTAGTATCTTCATCAAAATCACTACCTATATCTCAATCTTTAATTGATAAATATCTTACATTTAATAATAAATTCAATAAAGATCAATTTAATCAATATTCTGATGATCGTTCTAATAATTATTATGATTATTATTATAATCATCATTATCATCATCCACGAATGTCGAAACGTGCTGATTTGAAAGATTTATCAATTCATAGTGATATGGCATTTATACGTAAATTATTCGATCAAAAAAATCATGAATTATTAAGACTTGGATAAGTTTTCAAAAACAAAAAATCATAAAATTTTTTAATTATTTTAGCTAAATAATGATCATTATTATGATTGATTTCATTCTTGTTTTACTGAACTAACAATTCAAAGATTTATAATTCTATGTCATTAGTAATGTATTTATTAGAAATTTTAACCAATAAAAGTGCTAATAAAATTTAAAATAAAACTGGCGGGAATTTTGTAGGTATCATTACCAAGGTTTTGGTTATTTATTTACTGAAGAGATAGTTTACACTAAGTGACGAAACGTCAGAAAATCTCATTTTTCTACTCATTAAGATATTACAAATATATTACTTTATTTATGGCTTAGATTTGTTTAAAAATTACTATTCATCTAATATATTTTTTTATATTTTAACAAGTGATCATGACAATAGTATAATAAGTAGTATAGTCTAAAGTAAAAAAGAAATATCTCATCAAATCTAGTTCGTTTGTTTTATGAAATGTGAATATTTTTTTGGATTTCGACTTTTAGAAAGTTGAAATTCTGTACTGTTTAAATGTCTTAAACTAGTAAAAGAACTATCAACTGCCTCCTTATTATCACTAATAATGAATTTTTGTAAAGAATAAACTGTGAATAATGAGGTTGGAGTTATGGGGATATTGAGTGTAGCGCACACAGACAGGTTGTATAGAGAATATAGATATAGTCAAAGTTACGACTGGGAAATGAAAACTCTCCTCTAAGCACCAATTATTCATTGAATGAACGGAAAAACGACCAAATTGCTAGGTATGATATGTACCGAACATGAAAATAATGTGATTAAACTTAATCGAGTAATTATATATTAATGACTAATTATTACATACACGAAGAATTTTGTTAAATTGTAGAAAGTGAATATCACTTTGAAAGTTGAATGGTTAGTTGATAAAGAGAAAATTTGTTACACTGCCAATAGTACTTTTTGTCTATTTTTCTGCTTCTAACTTTAATTAAGATTGTAGTGGATTATCATCAAGATAATTCCTTATGCTTAACATGTTAATTGTCCTGACAACCGTTATTAAACTAATCTCAACGATATATAAATTTCAGAAAATAATAAGAAGCGTCAACTACATTTTATTATTAAACAGCACAGGTTACCAAGTCACAAACACCCAAAACGAATTCGAACAGAAATGATAATGATATCGAACAAATGTAGAGGCGAATTAAGACACGAACGAGTTAACAAGACTCAGTCTCATATGTATGAGAAAGCGAAGATTCATTGGACAATGTAAGCAACTAATACTTGAGCTAGTAAGAAGGATATATGTGTTTAAGCTGTAACAAGCGACCAACCATACAAACACGATACCAATATAATGATATACAAATTGTCATTTTTAACGCTGCTTGCTAAGTAAGTTAGTTGAAGGGCTTGACAGGATTAAACGCAAACAAACTTAAGTGTAGGTGAGGTGCTATAATACTATGTACTACATAGTAAAAAGCTTCAATAACATATTGAAGCAAGATTATTTTTGTATGTAAGTGTGAATACTATTATTTTCGCCACCTTAATCGTAGCAAGAAATGGAGTTGCAACTTGTTATCCATTACTGATATAATCATAATTATTACCATGTTACGTATTGCACTTAGCATTTTGCTTATACAACAAATTTGAACAGTTTAATTAAATGATAATTTGATCTCTATTTTGATAAAATCATATTGTCCTAATTACATCAGTGAATATTTGTCTGAAACGAACATGAAAATGATAACAATTTACCGCTTCATGTTATCAGTAAACGGAAACAATGTATAGCCTTAATTATTACAGTACTTACCAATAATTATAAACAAAAGGAACTCAGTGACAATCTAAATGCAAAATATCTCACAATTAATCCTATTTTAAGTTCTAATGACTTTGAAGATTAACATAGTTATTAAAATGGATTTATACCGCTTAAGTACAATGACTTTCATTGCTACTAAGCAAAAAGTAGAAATTTAACTTAAATCTAACTTTTTGCAGAAACTACAATACTTGTAATTCTGACAAATCTTATTATTTAGTAGTTGAATACACCAGTCAATTGAATCTAGACAACCATGGAAAACCTGAAAGCACTGAACGGCCGTATCGTCCTAGTATGGGACTCCTCAGCAGTGTGCATCCACGATCCCTCCTGTCTAGCTTCAATCGACTCATGAATTCAACTACTATATTACTATAGTATCCACAAAACGTTTCTTTGATTGAAATATTATTATTTGAAGTCGCCAAGATCTGACCAATTGTTTTCTATAACTTGAATGTCTATTCAGCCATCACATAATAATTATTTAATCTAATTGCATTTCTGAAACTTAAATGAATTAGGATTAGTAAGAGAATAGTCACTTTCCAATTAATAATTCTTTTAACTTGTCAGAGTTTTATATCAATTTAATATTAACTTTTTGTAATCATTTTACTTTACAAAAAAGTTTCCGTACCAATTTTTATCATAAACCTATTCATCTTTTCGACTATTAACTCAGTTCGATGCCAATATTAAAATAACGTTTACTTAATTTTTTATGTTGTATAAATACCCTTGAAGAATCTTACTATCAGGATGACTATCATAGAATCGGTATTGACTGGACGCACATGAAAATTTGTTCTCCTCAAGATGTACTTTGTAAATGTTATGATTAATAAACTATTTATCTCAATGACCTTAATAATAAAGTATAATTTTTCTAATAGTTGAATTCATGAGTCAATTGAAGCCAGAACACCATAGAAAACCTGGAAGCATTGGATGGCCGCTTCGTTCTAGGATGGAACTCCTCAGCAGTGCACATTCACGATCCCACCTCGTGAGATTCAAATCCAGGACCGATCAGTTTCGTATACGACCGCCTAACCACAAAACCACTGAGCTGGTCGGCATCCAATGGTTTTAATGTCTAATTTCAACCAATCCACGAAATCGAACCACCTTCCACCATTATCTTTAGTCAGTTATTATCTCATGACAGATCCGGTCGAACTCCACTGGTCACTAGAACTCTAGGAAATACGTCTTGGATACCGTCACTAGTGAGTATATGATGATTATAGTCAGAGAGGGGTTTAACGGTCAAAGAGTTAGTATTTACAATTTGTTAATGATTGATTGAACATAAAAATAAGCGATCATATTCCAATGGTAAATAAGACTATTGACCTAGACAAAGTTATTTTATTTATTAATCATGAGATTATATTCAAATAAACCATCAAAATATGTTTTAATTTTTTTTAATTTTTTATTAAAACTGATTAAAGGAATTTGGTAAAGTACTCGATATTCATTTGTATAAACTATTAAATGAAAACAAACAATGTATTCACTAAACGAGTTCTTTTGAGTGAACTCATTCTCAAAGCTGCACAAACGTATTTAGATGTGATAAATTAAAGGTCAATGAATAACTATATGTCTATTAGGATTTGATTTGTTGTTATGTGAAATTTGACTACACTATTTTAAATAAATAAATAGTTGAAGTTAAACATTAATAGCATTGAATGCCTGCTCAGTGGTCTAGTGGTTAAGTGTTCATTCGCGAGACCCATAGGTCCTGGATTAGAGTCCCGAGGGCAGGATGGTGGACGTGCACTGCTGAGGAGTACCATACTAAAACGAAAAGGCTGTTCAGTGCTTTCAGGTTTTAAATGATGATCTAGCTTACATTAACTCATGAATTCAACTATTAAAATTATTACAATCTCCACAAACCCTATTTTGATCACAAGTCATTTTTGACGGCCTTCAATAATTAAAAGAAAAAAATTTCTTTGGCATATTGTTTTGGATAATATTACAGAGTATAAAATTTTATCTTCCGTTTTAATAAAACTTTCAAGGGTAATCAAAATTAAATGTAGAATAATGAGTAAGATCATGCAATACCAATTATATTTTAATATTGTGATAGAAACTCAAAATTAACATGTTAATATATAGTGTATAGCATAATGATACTATTCGATGTCAAATATGAATAATTAATTAACATATAGTTGTGGATTTATCCTTCTACTTTTGGTAGCCATTATCCATAAAATGTGAAGTGACTTGATGTTAATAACGAAATAAAGAATCAGTGACAAACAATAAAATTGACTTCTTAAAATATTATCTTGTTTAATTCTTAATCTGTAAAGAACTAACATTTAGTTTTGTCTCTGTTTTAGTATGTGAATTATAAAGTTTCGTTTAATGTATAAGTTACTGTCATATTCTTTGCTATTCCGAAGTTATTTATTTACTTATTATTTATTTGAACACATAAATATTGGTACAAATGCGCCACACAAAACAATGAGAATGGGAAGAGAAAAAAAGAACAATAACGACCAGATTAGTGTAAGGTAGTTGTTATGACCTTGGATGTCTGGTTTTTCTATCACACGATTTATCTACCAATCCGAATACGACTTATACGAATCTTCACACTAGGCCAACCAATGACGTTCAACCGGTGTGGACAGTTTAGCGTCCTTATAGGTCCTATGTCCTCCGAGCCCTTCCACTTGAGTACAGAACACAATACCAGCTCCCGAATATGAATCTAATCGTTTATTTCAGGCATACTTGGTTTATATATCAATCAGACAGACCGCAATATACCATAAAATAGGAAATAACATTTGTACACAAATAACGAGGGAGGCAATAGTTAATAAACTGAACATAACTTAAGAACCGTAAATCGTACAATAATAAATTATAGGTCAAAATAAAGCTTATCATAAAAGGAATATAAATATACATAGTGTAATTGTTGAGTAGTTATACAATAAGAATATTTATAGAATATTAGTCCATGAATAGTCCTCGGAAGTTACCTGTAATTTAATCTTCACCGGATATAACAGTAGTGTAATGATAATCATAATGGGGGAAACGGAAAGGTACAACCGGAAGATTCCTTTCAGTTAAGGAAGATACAAGCACTTTTTGTGAAGAAAGTAAAAGAAGGTTACAACAGG